ATTTGTTATAGACAAATTGATTAAATTTTATTAATTTGTGGTTTCTGAAAATTTACAAAACCCTTCATTTAAAAATAAAATATAGGATAAGTAATATGTTACTGCCATCAACAGGAGCATTGAGAAACTAGTCGAAGCGAGGCGATCTAGTGGCCGACGCCCGTAAACATTTTTGTTGAGTGCTTGAGTTGCTTATCTATAACTAATTTATGTGTATTATCTATGTTTGATTCATCAACATGAAAGACCACCGCATTAACTATGTAAATTAATCGTAGCTTTAATTTATTATGTATCAATACGAGGCAAGGAATTCGTGCCATTCGGTAAATGAGTTTACCTTCGGCACATGAACTTGGACGTTTCATTTTCAAGGATTATTTCTTGGTCGTAGTATTTTTTTTTCTTTAGGATTGAAGGATTACTGGTGGCCCGGAGGCCTTTCCAGTTTCACCAGGACAGGTGGGCGAGCACATAAATGCCAAGAGGGGTGGGATTTGCTAACAGCTGCCCGAGCGCCTCCAAAGGAGACCTAATAACTCAAGAGCAGCTGCTTCGCGAATGAATGTACTACCGGATCGGAATCGCTTGTCGTAGTAATCAAGTATGGAACGACGGTCAAACATGAATTTCCTGAATAAATAATCCTTGTTTCAAAACCAATGGCGTTTCTGTCGATATTAAGTATTAAAATGGATGCAACTCTGCCGGTATTCGAATCCCCCATGCAGGTAACAATTTTTCTAATGTTTCTAACAATTTTTCTAAGCACACGTTTACGAATGACTTCTACGGTGAAGGAATAACATCGTAGGATAAAAATCAAATCTGAAAAAATATAATTTGCGTTATTAGTGGTTGGGCGTCTTGAGGTCCGTACGTGTAAGTACCACCACCCTGCCTATTTCTGCCTTGAACTAGTAATACATTTCGCTCTGAAGGGTGGGGCATCTGTTACGCTGTAAAACTGAGACACATGTTTCAATGTGGAGGCGGTATTTATGTTCTTGACATCCGTAGGCTTCGATAATCACTTAACAGAAGCCGCGAGCACATCCGCCCAACCAACCCAATAGTAACTCAGTCAGATAATTAATATCCCTGTAGAATCTTCTGCTCTAAAAATGGTTATGTTTTTGGAAACTTTCATGAAATGACTTGAAACATGAAACTATTTTAATAGGTTTTTAACTAAACAGAGCACTCGTATTTACATCCTAGACGATATTATACACAGGTATGTGCATGTCGTAATATAATTATGTAGATGCTAGATAATTGGAACTAAACACGTGCTACTTAAACGTGTTGCGATTAATCACATGTAATATGAGGTAATTCTATTAACATCATACATTGTAGAAACAGTAAAGGTCCGTCAATCATGTTTATTGTCATCGTATTAAATGCGCCTTCCTTTGCTGAAAAAAATATATAGATTTGGTGAAGTGGAGCAAAACGAAATGAAGATCAATGTTTGAGTGTTTTTGGTACGTGAATTGAATTTTTGGGAGTGACGAGGTTCATTTTTATATAAGCGGCACGCAACAAGCAAAGGTTTTTTTCCCCTACCTAAGCTGATAGCTTTGAGAGGCTATTTCAGCGTAACCTTAGCTAGTAGGTGAGCTCACGGGGCTCAAACCGGAGTGATGCTAACACTGACCCTAACAAGAGCAGTGCTTCGCAGAATCTACCAACGGATCGGAAACACGACCCACTGAGAAGATCCGGCGAGAAACTCAGTGGGCTGAGTCTATGAGTAGTATTATTGATCGAAGGTCTATGAGATAATTCGCTCGTCGAGTCCTTCGACGCAAGCTTTCTTTTTTGAAAATTTCCGGGACCAGACGACGTATGTCATAGTTTGAATTATGGGCGTATGATTAGGGAATTCTTCTAGTCGAACCTGTGAGTTCGTCCATCTTTGTCATCTTACAAGTTGGTTCCAACAGGAGGGTGCAACTACACACGCGGCTAGAACTTTAAAGTACATAATGTATACTTTGGGAAATTTTCTTTCAAAATCAGATCACTCGCTTAGGGGACATCTCGTTGCTAACGAAGTCGTCCGACTTGACAGGGTTTTTTTTTTCTATACGTCTGCCTCAAAGATAGTGTTTACTCTCAGAATCTGTAAACTATCATGTCAGAAAATTGTCGTTATGAAATTAGCTTAGTTGAACTGAGCTTACCACTACAGCGTGTGGTGCTGAACACGAGGCTCTGTTTCGTGCAGCGTGTGCAACTAGACGGACGAATTTTCGGAGATTGTTTTTTTTATTGCTTAGAGAGGTGGACGTGCTCACAGCCCACCTGGTGTTAAGTGGTTACTGGAGCCCATAGACATCTACAACGTAAATGCGCCACCCACCTTGAGATATAAGTTCTAAGGTGTCAGTATAGTTACAACGGCTGCTCCGCCCTTCAAACCGAAACGCATTACTGCTTCACGGCTGAAATAGGCGGGTGGTGGTACCTACCCGTGCGGACTCACAAGAGGTCCTATCACCAGTAAATATAGGGGATATAGCTTTTAAAAAATAAAAACCTCATCTTCACCCTTTCCTTTTATATTTTCCTTAATACGATACAAGTTAAGTAGTTAGTTTTTCATTTCATTTTGAAATTATAAATCTACCACCAAAGTCTCTCTCCGTAAATCATCTATTTTTTTAAATCGCGGTCGTATCGTTCGTAATTGATTTAAAACCGTTTAGGTCTCTTCGTTTAAGCTCCACGAAGACATGCTACTGACAACTCCTGATAGTTTAAGCCAGTACTTTGTGATTCAACATTGTGTGTTTTGGATCCTCCATCCTCAAGAGTATGTTTTTGTATTTTTTAATAATTACGGCCTGGCCACGGGGATCGGCGGTGCGAACAGCGAAGCGGTGGGCGAGGCGACCATTCGCGCAGCACCGTTTGCAGGCCACTGGTACTCACGTTCGCCGCCGCGACTAGTAAGGAAGTCCGACAGCGAAATGTCTATATCGAAATTATCTCGATATTGCTTACAAATTAATAGTTTTTTGGTTCAGGACCTATTATTTGGAAAAGATTGTGAAGTACATGATTTGAATAAGAATCGGAGTATACCTATAGATGGAGAATTCCACAAGAAGTACGAGAAATACTTTGGGTGGCTAGACTTCCAAATAGCTGGTCTAGCTAGTATTTCAGCTATTTTATTTTTTTATTGCTTAGATGGGTGGACGAGCTCACAGCCCACCTTGTGTTAAGTGGTTACTGGAGCCCATAGACATCCACAACGTAAATGCGCCACCCACCTTGAGATATAAGTTCTAAGGTCTCAAGTATAGTTATAATGGCTGCCTCACCCTTCAAACCGAAACGCATTACTACTTCACGGCAGAAATAGGCAGGGTGGTAGTACCCACCCGTGTAGACTCACAAGAGGTCCTACCACCAGTAATTACGCAAATTATTATTTTGAAGATTTCATTTTTATCACACGATGTTATTCCTTCACCGTGGAAATCAATCGTGAACGTTGAGTGTTGTTGAGTACGTATTTCATTACAAAAATTGGTACCCGCCTGATATTCGAACACCGGTGCATCGCTCAACACGATTGCACCGGACGTCCGTTAGGCCACGACGACTTTAAAAATATAAAATAAAAAATAAATAAAAAATATAAAAATTTCGGCGTTAATTTTTCGCGGCGAAAACAACTAAACTCATTTAATCACTGCACTATTCGCCGCGACTACCGCTCGACTCCGTGGCTCGCGCCGTCCGTATTCATGCATTTGTTTTGTTCGCCCGCCGCATCGCGCGATTCGCTCGGTACATTTCGCCGGTCGCTTCGCCGGTCGCCGGTGCGCGTGGCTTGTTAGGTACATTTCTATGCGCTCGTTTTAGTCGCTAGACGCTTCGCCGTTCGCACCGCGCGAATATTCGCATCGGCGAATGTCCCGTGGCCAGGCTGTTATACACCACGAACATTGCTTTTACACAATATATTATGTTAGGTATATGTACTTAACGAAACGAAATGTCGACTGTTAAAACAAAGTACTTCCTGGACGCCAAACGAGTCGAAGATAAGGTCACCCTACTTATCATTTTTCCGTTTTGTTATTGTGAAAGAGTATTTTCTCCAATATAAAAATTCAACCTAATCACCCCTCATCGCCGGAAGCTGTTTGTCTACATTGAAAACCGAAGGCTTCGGTAGCTAACAAACAATAAATAATTGTTTCTCAAACTTCGAAACCAGTTTGAGTAACAGAATATAAGAATATAAGTTATAATAATTTAAACGATATTTCTAATTTAGAGCCTTCTGTCAAAATGGGTATGCATATAATTAGCCAGATAAGGACATGATAGCTCGATGTTCTCGAGGTATTCTTAATAAAACTATAAATACGAATGTTTTAATTACCATAACTCTGATCTTTATATTGCCAAGATCTCAGATGATTAACAATTTCCATAACCGCAGGCTGAACGGGGACAAGTAGCGCCATCTGTTGCTGCATATCAAGAGTAAATTGTCACGAGGAATTCGATTCGATTAATTGAAAACTTCATTAATAAATTTACCTAAAGTCAGTAAGGCTTTATAATTTCATCCATAATGCGGCTTACGTAAATTAAACATTTCAGTTTAATATTTTGGATTGTATATGAGTTAATTAAAATTATATCGAACCAGTATCTTAGAAAATCTTGAAAATGAGGGTGAAATTAAACTTAAAACCAACTTGAATAAAGACTTATATTTTCCTAATCTTGTAGATCAACGACAGATGGCGCCGATATTCAACGCTAAAACAGAATAAGGCTTTCACGCCTATCACGTTGCTAGTACAAGGGTATTCTAAGAAATCAGAACAACAATTAAAATTAATTTAGCGTCTTTCGATAAAAGCTATGCGTATTCGCTCACCGGTAATACGTTAAAATTGGATTTATCTTTTTTGTGGAGAGGTTGTAATTAAAGATGGCGGCGGGCAGTGTCGTCTATGCAGGGTTAGCGGACCGGCTAGCGACACGCAAGCGCAGCAGGTAGGCGAACGTTCACGGTCCGTCGCATTTGCAGGCCCCGTGCGCACTCGCGGATCTCGTCGCGCTCATACACCCTACGACGAAATGTGCGAACACCAACGGTGACCGTGTGAAGTGATCCCTAACCAGTGATAGTTTGTTATTTGCTTCTGTTCAGTGCCTGTGTCTGTGTCATGAAGAGGAGCTGAACCGTGCCTGTGATAGTCGACAGCGGATTAACGGTAAATTTTATAGGACGTTACAGTATGACCTGCCAATGTTTACCCGTCAGGTGATACTGGTTCTACGTTTGCGCGTATGTCCCTTAACCGTAATTGAATTATACAAGGAATCGTTGAAAACTTTTATAATATTAATATGTTTGTTTCTTGGCGAACACAGCAGTTCTTTCCACGTAGCCTCTCATGCGCTGTTTACTCGTGAGACGTGAATTATGACACTTAGGTTCGATGTGTTCCCCTGTCGACATTACCTACATAATTGAAGCCTTACTGGCATTTATGTTGATGTTTCTTTAAAGAAAGTCGTATTTGCTTAAACATTATAGAATTAGCGAGTTTACCGTTGAAGAAAGTAAGACGCTAGTAAATGTAGGTAAAGAATTATCTCGATGTGCATTCGCCTGAGAGTCATTGGGTTCCACTAGACGCCTTATCACTAATTAACGAATCGTTAATTAAAAACGGGTATTTTTATGAATCGGTAGTTTGTTTTAGTTTTTTCCTATTAATGAAAAAAATTGCAAACTAACCATACCTACTGTTTCATTTGAGTATACCTCTATTATGTATAACGGTCAATTTTTACGCTGCATATACACATAGGTCCGTAGAATCTATAAGTTACATATAAAATATGCAAAATGAACATAAAAGTGTATTTTTTGTTTGATAGCGTCGAGTCCAAGGTGCATATTTAAAATTGTTCGTCACATATTACCAAGGACGCGTGCAGCAGAAACTATTGATGTAGGTACATAATAATATAGTGTTCATTAATTTTGTAAAAAAAAAACGAGTTGTTTACGACTTGTGCTCTCATAGATACAATGGCACAACTTGTTCCATAGAAAGTTGTAAACAGAGTTGTACGTTGTATATTCTATTCTCGATGTCACAAGTAACTTATTTTCTCATCGATTCGCTACTTGCCACGAGGAGATTCTTAAGCGAAGTTTTATGTTAATTTAATGGACTATAAATTACTTGACCGATAATCAGTCAATAGAAACACATACATACAACTTATGTTATGATGAATTTTAGAAATTTTTTTCTATTGCTTTGTTGGGCAGAAGATTACACACTAGAACAACGTGAATACCCCTGCCCACTTTGAGACAGGAGCTCGAGGCCTTATTTAGATAGTAGAAGCAGTAGATTGAAGATGCCGCATAGTAGAGACCCCATCTTCTAAATAATCGCCGAACAAACTATCACTTACATTGTCCAGGCAGCATATGGTAGGATTGTCTGCGTATTAGCATCAACCGACTTTTTACGCTCTTTTTCACTACCTATGCTGATAGGCTTGGGCGACTATTTCAGCTTCCCTAGCGTGTGGGTGAGCTCTCGGGGCTCAAACCGGGAGTGTTGCTAACACTGGCCCTAGGTAGCGCAGTGCATCGCAGAATTTACCACCGGATCGGAAACGCAACCCACTGAGAAGATCCGGCGGGAAACTCGGTAAACAAAGGCAACCGAGACATAGTGAACGATTTGAACGTTTAAAATAACCACAAAAACATGAATAGAGAATATACTTTGACAATTCAATACCTTATCTTACATGGGGCGTTACCTTTGTATTTCTAAGTTTGACTTAACAAGGTGCATTGTTTTCGAATTCCATTAATCGTAAACGTAATGTTTAGGTCGTCTAACTATTGTTTGGTTCTAAGTGTAGTGTGATAACAGAATCGGTCTTATTAAACGAAGCCGCTGGAAACTACATACCCGATCCTATAGACCGAATGGTAAACCGTCGACATCGGGGGTTGATTGCTTCCCGCTGGGGGTTGATTGCTTCCCGCTGGGGGTTGATTGCTTCCCGCTGGGGGTTGATTGCTTCCCGCTGGGGGTTGATTGCTTCCCGCTGGGGGTTGATTGCTTCCCGCTCGGGGGTTGATTGCTTCCCGCTTCGGGGGTTGATTGCTTCCCGCTTCCGTAGGTTTAACCCGCGATTCCCTACAAGTGACCCCTGGGTGGTGCAAAACGGGAGCCGAATACATAATCGGTGGTAGGACTTGTCCGACTGGCTGGCGACCACCCTCCAACTAGAGTCCGCCGCCAAATAGCCTAGCTGTGTTCCGGCGTGTGGGTTGGAGAGCCAGTGTTACTCCTTCCCTTTCCTCTTCCTTGTTGGGGGTGAATCTTGGCGATACCTGGAACATGCGGAGCAGACGTGCGTGTGACCTCGCGGGACGTGATTGTTTGACGGGGGTATAGGGAGACCCAGTGAAACGGTGTTCGCCGCCGCCCGCCGGTCAGTTGGGGACCTGAACCCGGGTGTCACTACTAAACTCCGCCCCGGGAAGCTGTCCCGCCAACCGGTGCAAAATCCTGTCGTGCGGTCGTCGTGCCGGAGTCGGAGACCGGAGTGGATCCCGGCGATCGCACGCAGGGTGGACTGGGGGCCCTTCCATGCCCTGCGTCAGTCGCTCACGCAACCCGTGGTCGAGCACGTACTGTGCTCCGCGCTTTATTCAGGTATTGTCACGATTTCGCCTCGAACATCCTACCCCGCCCAATCCCA